AATTGATATGTAAATTAATGACATTTTATTGAAACAAGTTCAATAATAGTAAATGAATAACTTCCTAAAAGAAAAATTGAATATTTGTGTTCATTTATTTCCAGAGATTCTATCAGATTTGATTTTTGTCTTATTATTATATTTTCTGTAAATAGAAAAAAGAACAGTTAATGTTGAAATCGTGGTTGTTCTCTGAAAGGTGACAAGCTTTATGGGAGTACGTAGGTCTCTGCATACCAAAACATCTTTTATGTTCAGCGATTTTCGCCTGAAGTCCTTCCTATATAAACTTTTGGGCATGATCCATGATTTTTTATCTTTATCCATTTTTGACTTAATTTTTTATGTCTACCCAAGGAGTTGATAGTCTTACATGCCATGATGATGTTCTCTTTTGTTAGTAGTATTTTATTTTACCCGATGATTTTTTCTGTATATATGTAGGTGTTACTGTTATTTTTAATGTGAGGGTATCGTTGGTTAATGGCCTCTTTGAGAAGTTTTTTATCAACGATGTGATAAATCATGTTCGGAATGCTGGTGAATCTTTTGGATTATGTTGATGAGGGTGATTAAAATCTTTATTGTTACTTGTGTCTGTATGGGTTGGTTTGTGGTAAATTGCGAAATCATGTTTGTTGTTGACTTTTGTAATTGTGAGGTCTTATTATTGGCTCTAGTTCTATTGTGAATTTTATGTTTCGTGAATAGAATTGATGTATTAAAAAAATTGACTGTTATTTTCCATGTATTCCTGTAAAGCAGGCTATATCATCGTCAACATACCTATACCAATAAATACAAATACAATCGATTTTCATTTTTGTTTCAGTCCACACAGTGCTTTTAATGAATTATATTACTAGACATTTTTCTTGTAAATGTGAAACAACATATTACTTGAATATGCGGACGGGGCCCGTAATGTACGTTCAATTTCTATGTCCAATACAACAATTGGAATGGGTAATTTTATGATTTCTCAAAATATCAATCAAAACATAATATTTTAAAGAACACAGTGACTTTTAGGGCGAAATAACACGTCCAAAACTTTTTGAAATATAATAGAAACTTCACAAGGTATCAACTCATTTATTCGGCTGGCTCATGGCCTGCAAAAATAATTGTAAATGTATATTTGCTGTGCACTCATTCTGTGAGAAAAGAACAGTTGTTTTGTTATGATACACTACTTTCAACCTTAGTGAACGTTTCCGTAAAGGGTATCAGGTGAAATTTGAAGCTATTTATTCGATAAACATCGGGAGTCGCGCATGTCGTCTTTTTGTCACATGACAAGGTTTGTAAACACCATACCGTTTGATGTTTGACATTCATTTTCAACATGGCGTGTTCTGTTATCAGTGATAAACAGTAGAGGTAAGAATTTTCATTTATTTCTGTATTCCATGGGGATATTAATTCTATGAAATGGACCTTGTAACTTCAGTTAAATTTGCTTTATATTCATTCAGTATCACGTTTTGTTTCTATGGATATACTTCAAAAACTCTAAAACTATCGATTATTCCACCTGAGTATAATTTGCTTAGTTGGCTGGTTGGATATTTTACGTAGGAATTTTGTTTAGTTACCTATTCAAAATCGGAGTGCGCGGGTATGTGCCGAATTTTCTTTTACGGAAATATCAAGTGTTGCCGATCTTTGCGACGCGCTTCATTACCTCAATTGATTTAATGTTATTTTTTCATAACAATTGTTTTATCAATAACATTACGCGTGTTATTGTTTCCTGGGTACATCCAATAACTTTTTTAATACTTTGCTGAGCAATAAGTAATAGTGGAATTGTGAAGCAATACGTACCTTGTTCAAAGACGATTTTTGATTATTCTGCAAATACCTTCATTGGTTGCAGAGCGAAAAATGGAACTATTTCAAATTCAAAGCTGAATGTTTTCTGACAGGTTTTTTGATATCTATGAAGTGGTCCGAATATACCAAGTAGATACCTATTTCATAGTTACAGAATTGTAATGCATGTATCAATATACCTAGGTATTTAAAAAACAAACATAAAATGCTGACAGCGTGTCGCATGTTTATAAATTTGACATTTGTACAGATAGGCTATCAATGATTTGAAACCTTTTTTTAATTATTTTTGTCCTTAGTTTAGTCTCTTTATCAGTTGTGCTGTTGCGCACAATAGTATCTCACATATGTTTCTTCGATCACATTGCGATAAAAAATTATTCCCACATTTTACCATCTCAAAAAAAATAAAACGTTATTACTGAAGCTACTTGAATAGGTTCAATTGCTCATGTTTGTACATACCACTTACCAAATACAGTACTGTGTCTATATTTTATAATCAGTGTATTTTTTACATGTGTACTTCAAGGAAATGCGAATATA